ACCCCGTCCTCATGCCTTTCTCTCTCCTGTGCTGGGCAACTTCCTCTGCCTTCTCCGAGTGGACTGCTCTGTGCTGCTGTCGACGAGACATGATGGCACGTGCTGCCTGAGGGAGGACAAGCCCAGTCCAGCCCAGCCCTGTCTAGTTGGGGTCCACGATGAGGTGAGTGCCTACACTTAGGGCCGCACACCCCACGGGTTTCTGAGCACCTCAGAGTTCCCACACTGGCTCCTAGCAAGTTCCGGAGGGAAGGCCATTTTTCTTTGACAGTATTGTGCATATTGCAGAGTTTGTCTCTGACTCCCTACGTCATCTTCGTTTTTCTCTCCTTTCCCTTCACAGTGCTTCTACCCTGCACCATCCTCAAATATGCCGTGTGTTCATGGACTCTCTCCTCTCCCCTTATTAAAACTTATCCACAAAAAAAAAATAATAATGAATAATTTAGGTAGTCAAGAGTGTTCCATTCAGGGCAGTTATCCTGATTCAAAGAGAAAATATCCGATGTAATTCCAGAGCGTGTCAATCAGCTGGGGAGGTATTATAGGTAATCAGGGTGGGTTGATCTAAAAATCGGCCCCTGCGCATGGTCGCCCACTTTGTCTTAACACCTGGCCCACATTTTTCTTTCCACATCTAGGAATTAATGACCAAGCAGAGAAAGTCAGAGAATAGGCTGCTGTCCCAGTGTCTCCTCTATTTACAAAGGTCACTTTGAAATGACAGTCTATGGCCAGACTGTCAGAAATTATGGGGACCTATCTGTGCCAGGGTACCCCAGTTCCTACAGGACTCTAATGTAAACAACTTCCCACTGCTTCGTAGGACTTGTTAAAGGGCTTGCACGTCCATAGTCTCTGGATTTTTACAAAGCCTCTGGATTGAAAGAAAGTACCACTCTTCCCATTTCCCAGATGAAGAAACTGAGGCCCTCAAGAGTAAAGTGATTTTAAGGTCTCAAAGACCTCACGGCAGACCTGAGACCAAAACCCAAATCTTCTGACTCCTGGGTCAAGACCCATTCTCACACACGACACCGCTGCTTTTTTCCATATCCTTATCTATAGCAAGATTCTTCCCTAACGGTTCCCCCTTCTCGGCTCCCTGCCCTTCTGCTGCACGCCACCTTCTTCCCCACTGCCCAGGAGCAGATGTGCTGCACTGTGGGTCAAGCAGGATAAGCTCCCGGCTACGAGGCAGATGAGGAGAACCCCAAGGTTCCAGGCAACTCGCCCTCCAGCCACTCCTGGGGCTCTCTCTAGCCTTATGGGGAGCTTTGTCACAGGAGTTACAGGGACACTTCCCAGGTAGCATCCATAGCCTGCTAACTGTCAAGCAGAGCTGAGTCCCTTTCTCAGCCCTTCCCTAGAACTGAGAGGAGACATCCCATGTTTCCTGAACCATAAACTCAGTGCCACTTGATCCGATGTGGAGAGTCTGATTACAGTGACAGACTAACAAGGGGATCAAGCTCAGGACAAGAATGAAACAAGCGTGTTAAATGGGTGAGGAGGGATAGAAAGGGCGTTGCTTCTGAGTTAGACAAATCCATGATCAATCTGGCTCTAATCCTATGCTCTGTCTTGGGGAAGTTCATTCATCCCCTGGTCCTTAATTTCATGATCTGAAAATGGGAATTATAATATCTACTCCCTAATCCTATAATAAGGATTGAACTAGAAAAAGTATGCTAGACACTTATCACTGGCCAAATGCACAAGCTAGCAAGTAGGAAAGGAAGAAACAGAGGAAATCAGGAGCTGGAATACTCAGCGGAAGCTTCAGAGGTGGCAGAGCCCAGTGGTTAAGAGCATGGAGGTTGAGGTCAGATAGAACCAAACTCAAATTCCAGTCCTAGCACCGACTCACTCTGTGACTTTGAACATGTTACAGAACCCCTCTGAGCTCCAAGCTCCTCATCTATAAATTGATATAATAGTGCCTACATCACAGAATTGCTGTGATCACCTAGTGGAAAACACACATATAAAGCTCTTAAAACAATTACTAGCTTACATTAAGTACTCAATAAATGTGGTTACAACTTTTAGTTCTCATTCATCACCATACCACAGGAAAATCAATTCAGGAGAGTTCAATTCATAATAGCATATTATGAATTTCTACACTTTTATAATTGAATAAGCAAATACTCACCCTCTTGAGTTGTACCATGGTGAGATCCTTTACTTTAAGGTGTAAAAGCAGTCAATCCCGGTGTGATGAATAAATCCATGTCCATAGGGAAGATGCTAAGTAAACTAAGGGTGTAGTATGATGTAGCCAGACACACACAGCACTCAAGTACCCAGACATAAGTGTGAAGTCCAGCCAGACCAGTTAACATTGCTTCGCCTCCCTATGCTTTGGTTTCCTCGTCCGTAAAATGAGGGTAAGTGACTGTCGCGGCTAGGAGAGTCCTGGGATTGTTGTATCATATGAAACAATGCATGTGAAAGTACCTTACATAGGGGCAGTTCTTAATTGTTTGCACTCTTTTCTCCCAACAACCTAATTGTGAAGGTTAAGTGTTCGTGGGATAGCCACGGACACAGCTCACTTGTGAACTGCCACTCTGATCTCCACCCAGGAAGCTATGACTTATGATCAGACCAAATCGTCATGATTACCCTGTGATAAGAGAGCAGACTCATTGAATGTTGCTTAGTTCTGGGAACCACATTTTAAAGACAATAACAAAGTGAAGCAATTTCAGCATAGAGAAACCTGGAGGCAAAACACTACCCTCCCAGAAAAACCTGGAGACTCTTTGTAGACAAGACTGAAAAACTGAGATGCATGGACAGGGTGCTCTCACTTAATTCTCATAACAACTCTATGAGTAATGTGCTGTTAAAATCCCCCCACTTTACAGATGAGAAAACCTAGGCTCACAGAGGGTAAGTGACTTCCTCAAGGTCATATGGCTGTTAAATGAGAGTGTCAGGGTTCTAGCCCACTGTACAATGCTGCCTCTGTTAATTGAAGTTTAGAGTTAATGTTGAAAAATAATAGACTTGCTCTTTGAGATTCCAGGAGACCACAAGCTGTCCAAGCAATATGATAGTAACTAGTGTTGCATATTATCAAAACCAATTTTTAATGATGTGCTGACAACTAGATTAGGTCTCCTTCAATTTTCTTGAGAGCATAAAATTAAAAACCCCTCGATCTAAAAATATTTGTATTCTGTTCATTAAAATCATTCATTTCCTTTGTATTTCTAATTGTCCCTTCATTTGGTTCCTTTGAGGTTTTTATATCCTGAGCCAATGCATCTAATAAGACTTAGAGGGATTAAAGTATATCTTTTATTTGTTAAGTGGTAGACAGGGTAATGCATAAGGTGACATCTTGAAGACAAAATGATTTTAGAAAAGAGAAATACAAGCCCAGCTGGTGTGGCTCAGTAGTTGAGCGTCGACCCACACACCAAAAGGTCGCTGGCTCGATTCCCGGTCAGGGCACAAGCCCAGGTTGTGGGCCCAGTCCCCAGTGGGGGGGGTGCAGGAGGCAGCCAATTGATGTTCTCTTTCATTGGTGTTTCCATCTCTCTCTCTCTCCAAATAATAAACAAAAAAATTTTTAGGGTGTCAATGGAGAAAAAAGGAAAAACATCTGTAACAAAAATAAATTAATAAAAAAAGAAAAGAGAAATACAAAAGCTGATAACCCGGAAACTGATTCTCCTAAAACCATGTCTGTATACTCTTTGAGAAGTCATTGGGTATTATCCAGGGTATGCATTCCCCAAAATAGAAACTGTTGGACCGAATGACCTCTGAAATCCCCCTCAGCAGCCAGATGCCTTGGTTATATAGCCCATCAGCAGGTTGTATTACCATGGATGAGATGCCTTGGTCTGAATTTGAGGAGTTGTGTTATATAGTCTCACTAGCATAGCCTCTAGAGCCAGATAAACATGACTGTAAGTTCAGATTTTGCCCTTTGTGAGCTTAAACTTTCTATATCTCAGTTTTCTAATTTGTAAAATAATAATAATAATAGCCTCCATAGAATTGTTATAAAAATTGAGTGTGATAATGCAGCAAAGTCCCTGGTTCAAGGTAAATGCTCTGTAAATGTTAGCTATGATGATAGTGATGGTGTTGATTATAATGAAAAATTCATACTTTGTTATTTTGGAAAATAATGATTAAGCACTCGATCCTTTTATCAACATGTGTAGTTTACATTGGAGATCAAAAGTGGCAGTAACTAAATGGCCTGCTCACAAGTCCCAGTCTATAAAAAAAAAATCCTTTTTGAAAAACAGTATAGAAGTTCCTCAAAAAATTGAAAATAGAATTACCATGTAATCCAACAATTCTACTTTTGGGTATTTATTCAAAGAAAACAAAAATGCTAATTTGAAAACATATACACAACCCCATGTTTACTGCAGCAGTATTTACAATAGCTAAAACAGGGAAACAACCTAACTGTCTGTTGATGGTTGAATGAATGAAGAAGATGTGCTATATATATAAAGGAATATCATCGAGCCATAAAAAGGAATGAAATCTTGCCGCTTGGAACAATATGGATGGATCTTGAGGACATTATGCTAAGTGAAATAAGTCAATCAGATAAAGACAAATACCATATGATCTCATTAATGTGTGGCATCTAGAGAAAAAAATTCATGACACAGAGAACAGAGGTGAAGAGTAGGGGAAGTAGGCAAAATGGGTGAAAGAGGTCTAAAAATACCAACTTCCGATTCTAAAATAAATAAGTCATGGGGATACAATGTACAGCATGGTAACTAGAGTTAATACTATATTGTATATTGGAGAGTTGCTAACAGAGTAGATTTTGAAAGTCCTCATCACAAGAAAAAAATCTGTAATCAGGTAGGCTCTTATCTTGGATGTTAACTAGACTTATCGTGGTGATCATTCCATTATGTATACAAAGATTGAATCATTATATTGTACACGTGAAACTAATATAATGTTGTGTCAATTATACCTCAATTAAAAATTAGTCATAATCACTTTTGTTCTTATGGCAACAGATGGAAGATACCAACTGGACCAGTGTATCCCACTTTGTTCTCTTGGGCATTTCTACCCACCCCAGAGAACAGATCCCACTCTTCGTCCTTTTCCTACTCATGTATGCAATCAACATGTCTGGCAACTTTGCCCTTATCACACTGATTATCTCTACTCCACACCTCCACACCCCCATGTACATCTTCCTCAGTAACCTGGCCTTGGCAGACATCTGCTTCACCTCCACCACGGTCCCCACGATGCTGCACAACATTTACTCTCCTACAAAGGCCATTTCCTACATGGGATGCTTAGCCCAGACTTATTTCTTCATATGCTTTGTAGCCATGGAAAACTTCCTCCTGGCTATAATGGCCTACGACAGATACATCGCCATCTGCCACCCTCTCCGCTATCCTGTGATTCTAACCAGAATGCTGTGTTCACAGATGGTGGCTCTGTGCCATATCCTCTCCCATCTTCATGCTCTGCTGCACACCTTTCTCATGGGCCAATTAATCTTCTGTGCAGATAACAGGATCGCTCACTTCTTCTGTGACCTCTACCCTCTGATGAAGTTATCCTGCTCCAGTACCCACCTCAACACCCTGATGATTCACACGGAAGGTGTTATTGTCATCCACGGAGCTCTGGCCTTCATCATTGCCTCCTATGCATGCATCATCTCAGTGGTCCTCCGTAGCCCCTCAGCCAAGGGCACATGGAAAGCCTTTTCTACCTGTGGCTCCCACCTCACTGTGGTGGCTGTCTTCTATGGCACCCTCACCTGGGTCTACTTCCAGCCTCTTACCAGCTATTCAGTGGCCAAAGGTCGCATCCTATCAGTCATGCACACAGTGGTGACCCCCATGCTGAACCCCTTCATTTACAGCCTGAGAAATGAGAATGTCAAGGTAGCCTTCAGGAAATGGAGGAGCCGAACACGGCTTTCTTTCTTTAGGTAAAACCCCAAAACACAGTTTAAGTTTTATCTGTGATTCTGGAGAAACAGTTTTGTCCTCACATATCTGTTTTTTTAGAACTTCTCAGACATATCTAAATTAAGTACATATCACAGATTTTATCATTGAATATTGTCCTGAGATATCTCTCAAACCCAAAGCAAATGAAACTATGTATTTAGTGTAAAACATAAGCATGACTCATTATAGGTGAGGTTGTTTTCTGAACCTGCCATTGAACGCCAGGGTTCTAACGCCCAGAGTTAGTTAGAGGCAGGCAACAGAAACCAATTCTCATTGATTCATGAAGGAAATATGTTTACTGAAAGTATATGTGGATTTTCTAAGAAGAATAAGCAACTAGTCTCAATAAAATGGGAAAGAACCACAATCAAAATCATATTCCAGAATTGGTCTGATGAGCTCACTGCCGTAGTCACCAAACTTTGTTCACTGCTACCTGTATCCCCACCAACAACCGTAACCAGCAATCGTCAATGGGCATAGCCCTTGGAGGCCTGAAAACCAGATGTGGCCACCTCCAGAAACAACTGCCCAGTTCTTATTCTTTGAACCAGTAAATGTAGATTCAAAATAAGGTGGTTTTTGCCCTGGCTGGTTTGGCTCAGCAGTTAGAGCATCGGCCGGCAGACCAGAGACACCCGGGTTCGGTTCCCACTAAGGACATATACCTCAGTTGCCATTTGTCCCCAGCCTGGCTGCGGTTGTGTGGGTAGCAACTCATTGATGTGTCTCTCTCACGTCAATGTTTCTCTCTCTCTTCCTCCTTCTCTCCCTCCCACTCTATCTGAAGATAAATGCAAAAATGTCCTTGGGTAAGGATAAAAAAATAAATAAATAAAAATAAGGTGGTAGATGCGACTGGTCAAGTCTTGGTCACTCGCCTATGCTCTAGTGCACAGGGAAACTGGAAGAACAACACAGATGCTTTTATTTTCTATAAGATAAAGGGAGGTTCTGTCTCCCATCAAGATAATTAAATGGGGGAAGTAATTCAATATGTGAGAGGGACATAATGACAAATTTCCACTGAATAAGGTCAGGAGTTAAAGATGTTCCACAATTAAGCATCATCACAGTTCTCCAACTTGCATTGCCTTAAATTCACTAGCTGTACCATTCAGAAATAACTTACACTCCTTTGTCTCAGCACACTCCTGACTTTCTACAGTTGATATATGGAACTTGTCTATGTTACTATTTGTCTGCTGGACCTGAGGAAAAGGTCCAAGAGCTATGATGTCTATTAAAATGTCAATTCTTCAGGTCCAGCCTGTGTGACTCAGTGGTTGAGCATCAACCCATGCACCAGGAGGTTGCTGGTTCGATTCCCGGTCAGGGCACATGTCCAGGTTGTGAGCCAAATCCCCAGTGGGGGCATGCAGGAGACGGCCAATTGATGTTCTCTCTCATCAAGAGAGATATTTCTATCTCTCTCTCCCTCTCCCTTCCCCTCTCTCTAAAATCAATAAAGGGGGAAAATGTTTTAATGTTAATTCTTCAGTTTCATGGGTTTAGGATCAAAGGAAAGGTGAGAGGGGCCTCCACGACATGGGGCAGAAGGTGCAAATGTGGCTGATTTAGTCCATCTGTTCAGACAAAGTTTCTATTATGAGATATGAGTGGCTATGGCACTGAGCTGAGAAGGAGTTAAAATTGTGGTAATTTTGTGTAATGAGCTAGAAGAAAATTTTCTTGTAACCTACATATAAGTGTTGGTCAAAATTTGCACCATTGAATTGGTTTAAGAAGCTATATTCCCTAAGTCTTTGACTACACTAAGATAATTAATTCTTCCAAAATATAGGGAGCCCTGGCACATATAAAATAATAATAACAAGGAAATCAAGCCTATGTTTTTGGTGTTAATCCTCAACTGAGGATATTTTTCCCATTGAATTTTAGAGAGAGTAGAAGGGGGTAGGGGAAGAGAGAAACATCTACTTGAGAGAGACACATCAATTGGTTGCCTCCTGCACACATCCCAACCAGGGGCAGGGATTGAACCTGTAACCCAGGTACATGCCCTTGACTGGGAATCAAACCAGTGACTCTTTGGTGTGTGGGTCAACACTCTATCCGCTGAGCCACACTGGCCAGGGCTCAAGCCAACCTTTGATTAGTTAGCTCTGATTTTTTTCCATTTGTCAGAAAGTATCTTATATACCTAATATTTTTCTTCTGGACTCCACCATTTCCTCTAATTTTATCTTTCCTGCCTGCTGACCCACCTCCCTCCTTTCTCTGTCTCCCCTGACTGTTACATTACTGATCCTCTTTAGTCTGAACCACCTGATTAGCCTCACCTCTTAGCACTGCAGCCTCTTCTAAGAATCCCTCCTGCTCCCATTGAAAGAACTTTCTTAAGGTAAACAAATAGTCAGAATGTAAATAAATACTTTTGAAGAGCATTTGGGCAATTCTATCAGAAAGCACTGTATTTAGATGATACCTTTCCTCTTCCAGGAGTTTATCTCACAGTTGTGAGTATACAAAACACAGAATTAGTAAAGCTGTTGTAACCATCATAATCTGCATGTCTTTTCCCATATGAACAACTGTAAACCTTCTTTTACCAACCCCTGTATATCATGAGTGATTATATATTATGTATATTTGAATATACATATATTTTATGTTAAATACACTATTGTTTATAACAGTGAAAAATTCGAAATAGCCCTCGCCGGTTTGGCTCAGCGGTTAGAGCGTCAGCCTGCGGTCCTGAGAGACCCGGGTTCGGTTCCCGCTAAGGGCATGTACCTCGGTTGCAGTTTGTCCCCGGCCCTGGTTGGTCGTGTGGGTGGCAGCCACTCGATGTGTCCCTTTCACATCGATGTTTCTCTCTCTCTCTCTCCCTCCCACTCTACCTGAACAAAAAAATGGAAAAATGTCCTCAGATGAGGATTAAAAAAAATTAGAAATAATCTTTATGCATACTAACTAAATTTTGGTTCATTATGTTGGATAGTTAGACAGATAGTATTATCTGTTCACAATTCTTCCTTCCTTTCCTATCCTAGCCATGGCTTCACTGCGGGCAAAATGTATCCCCACTGACTTTGGACTTGTTTTAGCCAGCAGTTTATGAATAGGCATAACAAATGTTACTTCCAATAAAAAAATTTTTTTTGAATGGGTTTAGACTGGTTTGCCCAATACGATACACGTACACTATGAATTGCTGTTCAGTCAATAAAAAGAATGAGGCAGATTTCCCAGCTGGTGTGGCTCAGTGGTTGAGCATCGACCCACGCACCAAGAGGTCGACGGTTCAATTCCTGGTCAGGGCACATGCCCAGGTTGTGGGCCCAATCCCCAGTGGGGGGCATGCAGGAGGCAGCCAATCAATGTTCTCTCTCCCTCTCCCTTCCTCTCTCTCTAAAATCAATAACGAAAAAATATTTAAAAAAAAAAAAGAATGAGCTCTGGCTGGTTTGGCTCAACAGTTTAGAGCATCAGACCGCGGACCAGAGAGTCCCGGGTTCAGTTCCCACTAAGGGCATGTACCTCGGTTGCAGTTTGTCCCCAACCCCAGTTGGGGTCATGTGGGTGGCAACCACTCAATGTGTCTCTCTCACATCGATGTTTCTCTCTCTCCCTTCCCCTCTCTCTCCCTCCTGCTCTATCTGAAGATAAATGCAAAAATGTCCTCAGGTGAGGATTAAAAAAAAAAAAATAGAATGAGGCAGATTAACTCCTGGCCTTACTCTCATTTCATCAATAGCCTCTAGGTACATATAGCTATCTAAATTTTTACCTAGCTTATCTCCCATGATTTCTTCATCTGTATACTATTAATAATAATAATAATAATAGAATACACATATATGGTACTTATTATGGGCTGGTCACTCTTACAAGTGCTTTATATATACAGAGTGGAACAAAAATAGAATTACCGTTGTTCATATGGAAAATAACACAATAAATAAACAATATCAAAATAAACCCTGTGTTTTGCATACTCACAACTGTAAACCTACTTTTGCCACACCCTGTATATCAAATCATCAAGTTCTAACCTTACATTTATACAATTTTTATTTTGAAAAAAGAAAATAAATTTTCTGGAGTTTCTCCCTCACTCCTTCATGACTTCAGCATCTGACTGACTCTCCACCATGATTTCATAGTCACTTTTGGAAACACTAACATCCACATAAATGGTTTTCTAACAAACAACCTGGGTTCTCAGCTCCTGGCCTGCTCAGCCTCAGCTGTCTGTTACTCTGCCCCTTCTTGCTCACTGGCTCACGTGGGCGCATCTGAGACTGCCATTCCAAATAACTGCACCACTGGTGAAATCCCAATTTTAAACTTTTCACTTCCTATCAGCTTCCATTTTTTTTTTTTTTTTTTTATCCTCACCCGAGGCTATTTTTCCATTTTTTGTACAGATAGAGTGGGAGGGAGAGAGAGGAAGGGAGACAGAGAGAGAAACATCGACGTGAAAGGGACACATCGAGTGGCTGCCACCCGCACGACCAACCAGGGCCGGGGACAAACTGCAACCGAGGTACGCGCCCTTAGCGGGAACCAAACCCGGGTCTCTCTATACCGCAGGCCAACGCTCCAACCGCTGAGCCAAACCGGCCAGGGCCATTTTTTTTTTTTTACCTCATTTAATCTACTTATCCAACTACAACAATTCTCTGATATCATTGAGAGCTATCATCCATCACCTCATTGATACCCGTTCTCCCACCTTTACAAGAATACATGTTATGGTCCAGAACTGTAAACCACGTTTTTGTAAACACCCTCAATTCTTTTGTTCCCTTTTGCTCCACCTGGCAAAATCCCAGTCCTAGGTAAATCCAACACCTTGTTTATTCATGACTGTACTGGATTACCTGATCGTCACTCCAGAACATCACCTAACCATGCTGACACGACTCACATTAAACTTGTAAATGAAATACCTAAATGAATGCTCGTATTGGCAGAGCTGAGGCTTCTCATAACACTTCCTAGTACTTCACCTTCTCAACCTCGAGCATATTTCACATAATTTCTTTCTACAGTTCTCTAAAACCA